GTCAAGGGTATAGTTCGAACACTGCCTAAATCATCATAATTAAGTCTGAGAAAGGTAAATCAAACCAAAGAACTCTGTTGCGCTCTAAAAGGTCACACACCTGATCAGTTTGAAATGCCAATAAAGATCAGTGCAGGATGTTCAGTTCCCAGTAACATTTAGAGCAAATACTGCAAGTTCATAAGCTGTTGAACACCTTTACACCCTGCCTGTACCAAAGAACAGCAGGGTTCATTGTTTCAGCCCTGACTTGGATCCAGACACTATCCAAACTTCTCTACTAGAAAAGGGTTTGATTTCCCCAGTAGGAATTGAGTTCTAACGAGTATGCGTCAAAACATGTAGCAGTGACATTACAACACAGAGTGAATGAATTGAGTTATATTTAGGATTATATAGCTCAAAGGGCACAACATGGTACTAGCAACTACAGTCATTAGTTCAATTCCCAGGGAAGAGACATATTGATAAAGTGCATACCTTGAATTAGTATGTACGTATGTTGATAAAAGCATTTTCAAGATTTATATTAATTTAAGAAAGTATGCTGGTCAAGTTCAATACAATTTTCATGAAAGGTATAGTTCACCCAAAAAAGAATATCATGTCATCACAGCCTCATGTCATTCCAAACCTGCATGGTTGTGTAACATAAAAGAAGATATTTTGAAGAATGCTGGTAACATAACAGTTTTGGTTTACCATTAACTTCCACTGTACAATCAAAAAATCTTAAGTTCCACAGAAGAATGTAAATCATACAGTTTTAGAATGACATGAGTAAATTATGACAGTTTCTTTTTCAGGTGAACTATCCCCACCTTTCAGACTCTCTGCAAAAGGAACTGCACTGACTACAGCACCATAAAACTGCAGTAATGATTAAACTGCTGATGGTAAAAATGCTGCATGTTGTTTTTACTATCAACTCAATGTATAACAAGTGTGAAGTGCGAGCATTTTATAATTTTGCCGGAAATGAAATCCTATTAAGCAACAAGTCTGTGTCTAAACTGGATGCCCTACAGGGGCCAAACATGAAGCTAGACCTGTTGTTAAAGCTTCAGGTCACTTCTGAAGCTGTATGAATTCATAAAGCAGTCTCAGGCACATAATCCAGCTTTCCAGCTTGAGGGGAGTTAAAGAGAGAGACTGCAGCTTATCATTCAGCTGTGACGTCACCAAACAACATTTCAGTGGCTGAATTGTGGGCATAATGCCGATCCTATTTAACGTCTCGAACATTAGTAATAGAGTACAGCACAATATCTTTTCAGTACTAACTGTCCTCTGAGTGTAAAGGGTATAAGATACATCCCTTAATGTACTGCAGCACAGTACACTTTTTGTATCAGAAGGTACTTTGATATTCGCCAAGGTACTTCCATGTCCCATGGTGTTACATCACAAAAATCATGATATTATGATGGTACCATGAGCAAAATGAATAGGTATTTTTTGTAAGTGTGAACTGAAAAAAGGAGAAATGACGTGGCTAAAAAAGGAGGCGATAGGTCATCTACTATGCCATTGAAATAGCTTGTTTGAATAGGTGTGTCCTTATCATTTTCATCTTTCTGGGTGTGATCACAAAATTAACTTGAAAAACCAACATGCCAAACCTGACTGTCAATAGTGTGTGTAGCCTGAGCATCTTAAAAAAACGTAAGTAAATAGTTTTTTTTACGTAGAAACTGAAGTCAAACACATGCTAAAACAAGAGAGGATCATTCGTTTAATTTCTCATGAGGCAAAAAGCCTTTAAAAACAATGCGAAAAATGTCCAAAAACCCTAATTTACCACCACACCCACATTCTCCTCCTTACACACACCCAAATACATTCGCAAATCAGAATGGCCAGCGTCCTCATACTCACTCTTCATGCCGTAAGTCGCCGATGGTTCGATCCAGAGAGATCATGTCGCTGGCTACCATATTAAAGCCGAATTCCTTGATGCTAGCCTGAACAGAATCTTTGTACTCCGGTCCCAGTACGAACTGTTTGCTGCCCTCTCCCGGTCCGCCCTGGACCCCCTGAGGCTCAGGTTCTTTAGACTCAAAGTTGCCCAGAATTCCTTTCTTCAACACAGGTTCATTAAACACATTGGTGTGAGGCTTAAAGGTGATGTCCCAGTACGAATGCTTTGCTGCCTTCTCCCGGTCCACCCTGGACCCCCTGAGGCTCAGGTTCCTTAGGCTCAAAGTTGCCCAGAACTCCTTTCTTCAACACAGGTTCACTAAACATATTGGTGTGAGGCTTGAAGGTGATATATTGCTTCTGGATGACATTCTGCTGGTTCTGGGCTTTGAATGCAGGGTTTGGCTTGTCACCATTTTTCTGGCGGATAGACTCCAGATCGACCTCAACTCCTTCGACGTGGGGCCAAGGAACAACTGGCTTGAACTGGTCAGCCATGTCATTATTGTGAGGATTGGGCTGCAAGAGTTTACCTGCATCTCTTCCTGCCTATGAAAAGAGACAAATATATGAGACAAAGTGGTGGTGTTTGTGTGGTAGTGTTACATAGCTTAGATCTTTATTATACATTAACCCTAAAAACATTATATA